CTGCTTGCCCTGAAATCAATAAAGGAAAAAACCAGGTTAGTGGAAAACCTCATTTTAAATCATGAAATGCTAATGCATTATGTTCTTTATGGAAACATACTTTGGCCCTGATGTCATTGAAGGCGTCGAGAACCTTCTGGAGACTGGCATTTGCATCACCGATCTGAAAAAACAACAATATCATGTTATGATCATTATAACCAGTAGTAGTACAGGAAAAGTTGTTGACTATAGTAATACTGACATGCTTTAAGCGTTATTACTGACCTTCAGGAATACTCCAACAACAGCGAGCCCATCAGGCTTGCTTGCAGCCTCACCGAAGCTTGGGTATTTGGTGTTCCAGTGCACCAAATGGAGCTAAAAATAAAAGAAATAGATCAAAAATAATGTAATTTCCTCACAGATTGAAGTCAAATACAAACATCCCTGGGGTTAAATAGCTTTGATGGTTGAGTTAAGGCAAAAACGACAGATCACAAGCAAAAAGAAAATGCTAACTAAGTTGTTTACTGGCAAACATAAAGGGACAGAAAATGGTTTCTTTAATATTGAATGCCAACCCCAATTTGTCAGATACTACAGCTTTCTGAGTATAATGGTCCCCATAATGGCTCAGAGCAAACGTACCTCAGCAGGATACTTGGTCCCAGCCACGGTATGTTCAGAGCCTTTGTCATCAGACGCTCCCCAGTGGAAATGAAACTGCTTGAGCCTGTACACCCCTGAGATGGGTCCTTCTTTCAGAGCTGCAGAATAAACAAACATCTCCCTCAGTTAATCCCATACTTAACGTGGATAGGGCTGTAATGAGCCAAAATGAGACGGTCTTATAAAACAATACAGTGATACAAGTTTTAAACGTTGAAGGAAAAAAACAACAACAGCAGGTTGACAAGATCAATTACTTTTGGGTACACACACACACACACACACACACACACACACACACACACACACACACACACACACACACACACACACACACACACACACACACACACACACACACACACACACACACACACACACACACACACACACACACACACACACACACACACACACACACACACACACACACACACACACACACACACACACACACACACACACACACACACACACACACACACACACACACACACACACACACACACTTCCTATTTCTTGGAGGCAGACTGACTTCCTGTTGCATAAGATCAAATTGAAGGGTTACATTATGTCCTAAATGATGTCTAGGTATTGTTAACATCAAACATCCTTCCACTGTTATACATAATCCATAGTTTTACAATGTAGTGACACTGTAGCAGATACAGAAAAAACGTGTGCTATTTCTGGTGCATTGTTACCAAATACTGAGTCACTAACAGACAACTGGCCTCTCTAAACAGAATATTTGTGTCTCAGTAGTCAGCCTCAAATGATAAGAAAACACATTACTGATCTCAAGAAGTGACTGAAAGGGATTTTCACAAAAATAAAAATAAAGACTGATATTCATGTTTGCCACTGTGCACACACATGATCTATCTATGACATGATGTATGATGATTTGCTTTATTTAGAAGGGCATGATGGAAAATAAGTGCAGTAAAATGTAAGAAAGAATAAAGAAGCTCATGATTTTAGCAGTACTGTATGCTTTTTTGTTTTTGATAAGTGTCCACACGAAATAATCCGTTGTGTTGGTTATGCAAACATGCTCTTCTTTGTTCTCTATCAGGTCACCCACAGAACAACCAATCCAAATCCTAAATCCTTTTATCTGTCTCTTTCTGCAATAAAATGTTATATAAATGGAAATGCAATGAAATAAAAATAGAGGAATAAGCAATCTCCATTTTAAATTATAGTTTGGGGGGGAAAAAATCAAGCATCATTCATGTGGTTACTCAATCCCATGCACGGTTGGTGAACTCAAATTGAACCAAAACGGCGTTTGTTTGGAGAGTAACTTCGATTTTTGCGCTTTTGACCTCACTAGCAGCTGAAATAATTTGGCGTGGTTTACTGCGGTGTTACATTACCAATGCAATTAGTATGCATTCTTTGTGCTCGGCTGAATGGAACACCCTTCAATGAATTCAATCCAATTAAAATGGTTAAAAAAACAAAAAAGAAATACAATCTAATACAACTAAATACAAATCTATGTCCGTTTGTTTCATCCCTATATTAAAAAAACAACCTGTAGGCGCTAATGGAAACTGGGGCGCATTACTCATGCATCAAAAATACATGTTAACATTCTATTAACATGCAGTTAAATTGTGCACACTGAGAGCTTCTGTTAACGGACAGGATGCATAACGCCTGAATGCCGCATTTGCAGGTTGCTGCATCCCGTATGGCGTATCATCATGAGGACATTTTGATTGATTGCCTTTGTTTGCAAACCAATATTAGTATAGCTCCTCTATTTCATTTTCAAACATTGCAATATGTTAGTCGAAATATAGGGACATTTTGTCTTTCTTCAGGGCAGGCTAAGAGGATATATTTTAATGCCATTTTTAAATGAGATTCTTGAGCGGTGATATCACGTCTCCAACGAGTGTCTGTATTCATCAAATATTAATGTCACACTAACTTGAGCTATCGCTGTCATCTGCGAAGGTCACTTGGAAGGAATGTCCGTTGTTGAGGATTTCAAGGCAGTTGGAGGGGTCGTACTTCAGGCTGAGGGGCTTCAACCCGGAGTCGTATGATGCTCCACCAGGTAGGATGTCAATGGGAGACTGACGGGGTCCATCGGCAATAGGGAAGTTTGAAACCCATTTGTCGGGTCCTGAAAATAAAATAACAAAAGTGTGATTATAGAGATCTTTCAATGGGATTTTAATTAAAGAAATTGCGCGTCTGGGGATGCGCAATGATGAAAAGAACGTAAACACTGTGCAGAATTAAAAATATCTGCAGTGATCACATTCTCCAATTAATTCACAGACTTGCGGGTTTTATAATTTCTCTCAATAATGTCACCCCATCATTATAGATTGCAATTAGTGCCTCACCGTTGTTCGCAGCGTATCCCCATGCATGAGCCATTGTTAGAGTTTGGATGAGCTGTGTTATTCCCTAAAGCAAGTCGTCCCTGAGCACAGAGCAGTCAGTGTCCACCACCTGACAGCTGCACGGCTTATATAGGGTCCCCTGCGAGCGGTGAGTGTCGGGCTGGTGTTAGCCACATGATGTCCGCGCAATGACCGGGAGGAGTTTAGATGCGCCGCAACGCCGCAACACTGTGGATCAATGTCTCTCTCTCTTTCTCTCTCTCTCTCTCTCTTTCTCTCTGTCTCAGAGTGGTGGTAAAGTCTTCATTTACAAGCGACAGTCTAATGGGTTGGATAGTATTCCTCGAGCAACGTTGACCGCATTTTAACCTCTCATCTAATTTAATTTACATGTCATGTCAGGAAGTAACGGAATTACGCAGCAGCATGCAACCTACAGTATGTGCCACCTTGAAACAGAAAGTGCATGCTGGAAAACCTGCATTGCAAACACTGAAAAGTGAAAGACCAAGGGCTTCAAATAGTGATATACACAGTTACTACAAAGTTAAAAACACACCATCGTTACTTGTTGGAGTGCCAAGGGAATAAGAAATCAATATAAAACTATTAATAGCACTTTTATTATATTTAAATTATAAAATGTAACATTGGCTTCAACACATTTTTATCCGAAAAAAAGGTTTTGCGTAAGGGTATGTAGTAATTCGGTTGGATCTCCAAACTAATAAAAACAATTACTTGAATTATTATTCTCTATTGGCAATTCATACAAACGTTTAATGATTTTTAATGTTTATTTTATTAGCTTTTCTTTTTAATGACTGATTTTAAATGCCATTTTCTTAATCTCTTTCATTTTTTGTAAAGCACTTTGAATTGCCTTGTGTTGAAAAGTGCTATATAAATAAACTTGCTTTGCCTTGCCTAATGAAAAACACAAAACTAATTTGAAAAAGAACCTTCAGTTAGAACACGAGAGATATCTGTCCGCTTCTACCAAGACAAGATAAGAGAACTATGCGCCTCCTGTCGATGATGTGTTTATCAGTGACGGTGTTGCATCAGTTATACACAAGGCCAACTCAGTGTTTAGTGATAAAGAATTGACTGACACATTATAAACACAAATTAGTTACATATAGCCTATGCTGATATCACGACACAATTTGCATGAAAAGTTTGAGAAAATAAACATTCAAGAAATAATCTATTGTTACCCTTTTAGACAATTAGGCCTCAAACTCCAGGTCTCTCCCCAGAATCTCCAGCTCCAGCATCCTAGTGGCCAGTGCAGCTCACTGATGATTGCTCAGTTTTTCAGAAAATCATACAGGCTGTTGTGAAAAGCTCATGGTATTACGGTGCCACCTGCTGTTGGTAAAGGAGAATGCAATGTTGTTTTGTTGAGTTATTTTCTTTTTCATTTAAATCATAATTAAATCTTTATTCAATTAAGCCAATATTGCAAAACAAAATAGTATTTAATAGTGTTAAAAATGTCACGTTGTTGTAATTTCTCTAGAGATGACTTTTAAACTCTTAAATCAAGTTAATTGTATTCTGTTTTATCCAGTGAATTATTCCGGTAATAATTTAAGGTTTGGCAACTATCAATAAAAAATAAATAAAATGTTAAGCTTGTATTTTTAATAAAATAGAAAACAGACCGATATTTTGTAAATGGCTAAAATAACTATGCATGTTGTTTCTTTTTAGAAATATTTCTATGAGAAGGATGGAAGCCTTGCAAACCTATAGCGTGGATATTGGACATTGGTGATTACTTGCTGTGGGAGAAACATCAAGAAATACAAATAAATACATATTTAAAAAAAACATTTGTGTGATTTTTCATTGGTTATGTTGGTATACAAATATAGTGCATGTTCTATTGTTCGTGAAAATAATATGAAGATAGGTAGGCAGTTTCCTGCCTACAGAATGATGTTTCATGTAAATAACTTTCTGCACTCTGTGAAATCTTGTTTTGGGTTTATTCAAATACAAATGTTTTTCTATTTGCCTCTCCATAAAACAATAACAAACCATTTGCAGACACATACACATGACATGGGTCACAGTGTTTGGTCACATAGGCTGGGTAAGGTTATAAGTGAATCCAGTCTGCACCCTGATTGGCTGTAGTCCAGGATCTGTGCCCTCATACAAGGTCTCCTGATTGTCGTCTCCATCCATACAGATTCCCTGCTTCTCAATGGTGTAGTTCAGCACCGCAAATGGAGCCACAGGTGACTTGGCTATCAGAATCTGTCTCTGGTGTGAGTCCACATACTGGAGAATAAGACGTGTGTTGACGCTGTGGCTCCAGGTGTTACCCAGAGCCGCTGTCACAAACCCAGCATCCTCAGATCCATGACCCCCTAAATGAGTTGTGATCTGGTTGGTGAGAACCACCGGTAAGTTGAACTGGTGTGCCAGGTATTTCAGAGTGGAGGCCTTGTGACCCAGCAGGTCGCTGCGATGCATCAGGTTACCTGGCAACGTCGTGTCAAACTCCTTTCTCACCACTGAGGCCACAGAGTCCAGGATGATGAGACCTGCTCCTGATGAGATGATGTCCTCTTCTAGTGTATCTAGTCTGTTGAGGACATCTTGACAGGTGAGATCCCTGCAGAGAAGCACTCGCCCAGCCATGTTTAGGACTCTCTCCCTGCAGTTGAAGTAGTCTGGGAACCGGCTCTGTGCGATCTCCACCAGCCTCACAGCAGAGAAAGCGGATTCAGTGTCGATGTAGATCACACCGCTGTCCAGGCCACCCTCACTCTTTGGCATGGTGGCCAGAACACTCAGCATTAAACATATCTGAGTTTTCCCACAGCCTGAGGGCCCTGTCACCTCAGTGATTGTCCCACAGGGAAGGCCCCCTCTCAGAAGTTTATCCAAAGCAGGCAAGGAAGTGGAGAAACAGGCCTGTTTTTTGCACAGCTCCAGAGCCGTGGTTACTGGCGGTGCAACAGCTTTGCTCACTGACTGCAGCAGCTCAATAGCTCTTTGGTAGCTCAGGCATGCAACGTGCATCACTTCTAAAGGAGTCAGAGACAACAGGTCCTTACAACTTTCTATGTGATGCCGTTTAAGTTGCTCACATACATCGTTTGAAAGGCCGGTTCGCTTCAACATTCTAGTCGCCATGTTGTCTTCTTTTCACATTTTCACTTGTAGACTTTTTAAAGACGGTAACACATTAAAAAAAACATTAAAACAGTGCCTGTAATCTCCTTCGACTAAAGTGATTGTCAACACTCGTCGCACGCTGATGACGTAGCAGAGAAGGCACGTTTGTTTTAGTCGCGAGCACGGCACATGAGGACATCAACATTAACCAACATCGACTGAAACACGGTCTCTTTGCAAGTATTTCATTGTTAATGTTATATCGTTTAGCTGTGTACGCACAGTTTTCGAATCCTTTTGTTAAAAAAGATGCCGTTTAGTAAAATTACACAACTTCGATAACAATTGACATAGCATTCCTGATATATTTAACAAGACAGCAAGCTGGTATTGTTAACACCATTGGAACCGTATTCTAGTTGACGTCATGTTTATACATAAGGACAGATACAGTTTTAAATGGATTTAAATGTTTCTCCAACACGTATGCTACGTGTGTGATATTTCAGTGCACAACTATAGACCAAAATGACCGTAGTAAATAGGAGGCAGGGATACACAGTTCAGTATTTGTTGAATTACTGTCGGGTTGTCTAGTAGAATTGACCAGTGAACAGTTGTTAAAGAAGTACTCTGATGTTATAAGCTAGTAGTGATTCTACTTATATGTAAGTACAATATCTGAGTACTCCTTCCACCTCTGGTAAACTACCCTACATTAGTGTCCCCTGTGTAAACAAATTACAAGTGAGACATCCTGCATTTCAGGTGCAAAAGTATTAGCATACTGAATTCCAAAAGTAAATAACTTCCTGTACAGAATTGATCTTTTCAGAGTAATACAATTATGTAACCCGGATTATATTTAGTGATGCATTCATGTGTAAGCTTCACTATTGTTGCAGCTGGTGTAGCTTTAACTAGTTTATATACTGCAGGATGCTTAATCCATAACAACACATCATTTATTAGTTAATTTGTTTTACTATTCTGAATCTTTAAAGTTACCACAATAATATTAACACTTGTTGTCGAATATATGAGAGTAAAAAGTACAATATAGCCTTCCAAAATTAAGAAGAATAGAGTAACATCAAATGCTTTAGTAAAGTACAAGTAACACTAAATTGTACTTAAGTATAAGATTTTGGAAGAGCACATTTTTAGATGTTATAATTACTTTATTAAGTTTATTATCAAATTAACAACTCCTATTAGTATTGTCATAATACACTGCCAGTCAGACAACTGGGAAGAGGGTTTGTTTTGTTTATGGTGCAACCTCTTGGAGAAAGTAGATATGTGCATGAAATTGCAAGGAAGTCTGCTTTAATCAGAATAATTGAATAAGGGTTATTAAACATTACTTCAACCTCTTGATCCTTTTCAAGTGTAATGACTCACCAATCCTTTGAAATGTGTTGATTTCAGTGCCTCTTCGCTCCTCTATCCTCCAACTTGTCTCACCGTTCCTTTAGCGCCTCAAGGCTCTGTTCTAACCGCGTTGCTTTCATGTAATTTCACCTTGATATTACTTTTGTTTTTATTTAATTCTAAAGCTAATTGTGACAAGATGTTAACGAGTGCAGCTACTTACGTCAACTCATTATACAAAGCAGAACATCCACCACATTCAACACTCATGTGCTGTTGTATTTTGGTATAATAGAAAGACTGCAGTAGAAAGCTAGGTAGACATGATGAGTGTTTTTGTATCCCTCTCACTCAACCTTGTACAATGAAAAAACTGAAACGTGGACTTTAATTAAATGTATTATTTCAACAGTTTCACATAACTGTTAGTTAAAAGCAACAAAAAAAAATAGGTTCAACTTTATGTTATTGCATGTGAAATTTGTTGACATAATGCATTAAGTTGAAGTCAACGTTTCCGTTTTTTCAGTATATGCCCTGCTTTATTTTTTATAGTATTTTTCATGTAAACATTTGTACTGCTTTTCACTATACACATTAGGCAACATTGTGAGCCCTTAGGCTAATTTGATAAAGTTAATCAAATACAGCAGTTCAACAAAACTGTGGACCGATGATGAAGCTGTGCTAGGGCTGCTCGATTATGGCAAAAATCATAATCTCGATTATTTGGGTCAATAATTGTAATTGTGATTATTAAATGCGTTTAAAGACTTTGAAAACATCCATTTATTGGAGAAAAAATATTTGAACAGTATGTTTTTAACAGTTGATTACCCTGAACTTTAAGTATAATTCAACTGGAAGAAAAAAAAATGTATTAAAAAAAAAAAATCGTTTTATTTCAATTACGTTCTTTTGGTAATTGTTGCAAGCCATAATCGTAATCGCGATTAAAATACGATTAATTGAGCAGCCCTAAGCTGTGCCACACCTCATATTCATTGACATTGCTTACAAAGGATGTCTCTTTTATTGAAAAAGTTATCTAATTTGGTTAAATGCCAGTCGCCCCAACCCTTCTCTCCTATTAACGTTAGAGGACAAATTGAGGATGTACCAACTGGAAAACAGAAAAGGCCTATCGCTTGTTTTGAAATGTAGAAACTACCACTTGAGAGCACACAGACCAGAAAATAATAATAAAAGAAAACAGGATAAAACACATGCCCTGGTTAACAATGAAATGTCTGCCGAGAGCCTATCCATGCTGACTGGTTTTCTCTCCTCAGGCAACATGGGGAAGAATAAACCAAAGGGGAAAAAACATAAGAACGTCTTTCAAGTGGCAAACAAGCACACGAAGCACAAGAACAAAACAAAGCCTGTCACCACAACGCTAAAACACGTAAGATATATTTTCTTTTCTTTTCTCTCTTGCATATATTTAGTACTCTCTTTTGTACATGGTGTCACCTGCATACTTTGATTTGTGGCTTCACAGATCACTGTATTGAAAAAGGAGAAGGTAGAGAGCCTCAATAAGATCTTCACAGAAGTCCAGAGGGATGTCACGAGCATTTCAAAGTCTGTTGCTCCCGAAAAAAAGAAACTAACACAGGTAGGGGTGGATATTTTAAAAACGTATTTTGATCCTCCAGCATTTTAGTCCTAATGATATCAATAATGCAACTTGTTATTGGTCCTTTAGGTTGTCAAAGAGCCACCGAAGGAGTCTGTAAACATCGATAGTGCCGCTCAACTCTTCTCTCAGCTATAATGGAACATGAAAGATGGACTGTCATAAGCCTCAGGCAAACACATGTTGTATGAAATGTCACAATCAGGACTGTAAATGTGTTAAAAATTAAAAACAGCTACGGTTTATTGCATGTGTGTATTTTAAACATTCTATATATTAAATGCAAAGAAACTGAAAGACTTGTCTTCTGTCAATAGTAATATTGTTTCTGGAACTGGAAGAAGATTTTATTTGTATTGGTTAATATTCTCTTGTGTAGAATGTTTTCTCTTCAAGGATTACTCTCCATGAATCTTCTGATTTATACTTTGATTCATTTATTTCTTAAGAAAACAACATACTACAGTAGAATATTCCCACTTTAATTATAACCAGAGGTGGGTACTCAGATCCTGCACTTGAGTAAAAGTAGAAGTATACCAGAGTTTAGTAATACATCGTTACAAGTAAAAGTCCTGCGTTCAATGTTATTCAAGTAAAAGTACAAAAGTATTGGCATCAAAATATACTTAAAGTACCAAAAGTAATCATTTTGCAGATTTAGAATTTACTCCAGGTGTAACTAGAGTCTGATTAAAGTGTTGTTTATATTTCACATAATTAATTCAAATCTGCAAAGTAATTAATAGTATTACATAAATGTAGTGGAGTAAAAGTACACAATTTACCTCTGCATTGTAGTGGAGTAGAAATACAAAGTATCAAAACATTGAAATACTCAAGTAAAGTACAAGTATCTAAAAATGGGACTTGAGCAAATGTACTTGGTTAATTTACACCTCTGATTATAACCGACAGTCCAAAACAAAATAGTATTCTGCAAAATATAATTTATAACTAGGAGCAAATGTTTGCTTGACAAATTGCTAAAATGATTATGGGATTAATCAAAGTAATTGCTTTTCTGTTGAATGACAGTAAATTAATTGTCCAATTGTCTAGCGCTACTTGCTTAACTAAACTGTTGATATGGGTGCATTGTTCCTCTTCATCTTGTTTCTGCCTGCTTTCAAAAACTACTTATTAGGGTTTTTTAAAACAGAACATTTTCTAAAGGATAGCACACCCTCTTTTCATTTTGGTTTCGCAACACATTTGAAGGTTTTCACACTTTATTATCATGCTTTTCATGCCTTGAATTAAGTGTAAATGAATTCACAAAGGAGTTCATTGTGATTCCTGCTTATAATGATGAAAATGTTTGCCTCAAAAATGGTATGTTGAAGTTCACAAAAGACTTTCAACAAGCATCTCATACATCTAGTATCATTTAAAAGGTTAATGTTCATTTCCAGAGATGATTGTGAGGTCTAAATCATAATTATTTAATGTAGTCCACTCCGGTATTTACAAGCTCCATTCCAGGCCTTCACACTGTCATTTCTATTAGGTCTGCACCTGAAGATGAAATATAGATTTTTTGGCTCCACTTAGGAGCAGCGGGCCGTTATCAGTATGCTGCTGCTGCTGCTGCTGCACCTTGTTGTAGAAACTTGACATCAGAGGTCGTGTGTGTACCAGTGACCAGCTGATTGCTTGTCTCCACACCGACCTCTGGCTGAGTTAGTTGGACAATACATCTGGAGCAAGGTGAAAGCAGGCTGCTAAATAAAACCCTGACATAAATAAGCTAAGAAGGAGACAAGGTGGCAATGACTTGAATGAGAAACTTATATTCTCTAGTGGATGTAGTTTTACTGAAAGAAGCTTAAACTTGCATTTTTTCGTTTTGACCACATTGGGGAAACATAAACAAGCTTTAAACAGTAACATTAATGTCACGTTTTAAAGGTGGGGTAGGTCATTTTGGAGAAACCAGCTCGAGTGCGCTAGAATTTGAAATACACAGCCGGAAAAAATCTGACACTTCCTTACAGAGCCCCTCCTCCAACACACACGAACGCGCACATGACCAATGAGGGCACGAGATAAGTGAGTGCACAGATGGAAGGCTGACAGGCAGGTAGGCCATGCAGTTATTTTAGCCGGGCCGGCTAAAATGATTGGTCGTGCTTTTTACAGTACTACGGCTTCCACAGCAATTATTCATTGCTATCGGGATGTTAAGAGCATTCCATGGAATATAACAAAAAGTGTATCTCGAGCCGGTTTCTCAAACTTACCTATACCCTACCTTTAAAGCAGTGGCAGTTCTACGGGGTGGCACGGGGTGGCAGCTGCCACCTCAGAAAAAGGCCTTGCCACCCCAGCTGCCACCCCATTTGGCAGCTTTGTTTTGAAAGAAAAGTTGTGGCTCATCGGACATTTATGAGAGAAAATATCTAATATCCGAGTGCAAGTGAATGCAGCACAAGACGCGAGCCTTGTAACCCCTCCCCCGGCCCTGGCGCAAGCGTGGAAATATGATTGGCCGCGATTTCATTTGAACGGGGGGACAGCTCAAAACGAGAAGCATTTCGGATCCAAGTAGACAGAAGGAATGAGGTATTTGCGGTCAGGGTATGGCTGGGGTAGGCTACAGCCATACCAATAAATGGCTTAGCCCCACCTTAGCCCCACCATGAAAATTGATGTTAAAGTAAGCAAAATAAAGTCCGCCAACTCGCGCGGAGTAAATTGCACAGACATCAGTTAGTAAGATTGATTTCAGTAGCCACTTGTCTGGAAATACCGAAGACCAGAAACGGTTTTGAAAACTTTTGTCACGTAGTGATCGTCTTCTCAATAGAACATCTTTGATAATGTCTTCTGGCCAATCAGAATCACAATAACGGCGTGGTGTTGTTGCAGGAAGTCCCAACGGAGAATAATTTTGCTGTAGTACATCTCTATATACATCGATACAACATTACGTGTTGATAGAAATCAACACGTAATGAAATAAGACCCCACGGTTTGATGATTGATACCTATCAACATGTGTGTGGGCTGTCTTTCATTTTGACACACAGAACAATGGGGGCTATCCACAATGTAAAGTAATTCACAGCCTCTTCCCTCTGAGGAGCAGCAGGTTCAGCTTTCAGAACAAAGTAACAAAAAACTAAAATGGCATTCATTTTTTTTCGTGTGAAATATGTAAATATGTCGTGTAGATGTATTTATTTGTCTTCTCAAGAGAGTACCAGAATGTGTATTTTATGTTAGTATTTAAAAAAATATCCTGGGGGAGAATCCCCCCAGACCCCCCCGCAGCGGTTGGGTTTTCAGCATGTCAACTCTTTCACCTGTGGGAAAATTGCAGGATTGGCTTCAGGTCGCCCTTTTTATTTACTACAAGACAAATGTGCCTTTTTATTTCATACAGTTCAATTTGGATTGAGACAGGGAAATAATCTAAACCTCACGCGTGGCGTTTCACTGTCAAGGGGAGCGACCACATCAAACAAGAGGTGGACGAGGGCAAGTACTGCGGCATGGTGATGCTGGACCTACAAAAGGCTTTCGACACTGTCAATCACCCCATTCTGATTGACAAGCTAAAAGCAATTGGTTTTGATAAACTATCGGTGAGCTGGATGCAATCCTACCTGGAGGGGAGAGAACAGATGGTGGAGGTAAACGGTACTCTGTCCCCCCCCCTCCCAGTGAGCTGTGGTGTTCCACAAGGAAGCATATTAGGTCCGTTACTGTTCCTAATTTATGTAAATGACATGTCATCAGCATGTGACTGCAACTTGTTCCTGTTCGCGGACGACTCAGCCCTGCTGGTCTCTGACAGGAACAGGTTGCAGGTTGAAAAAACCCTCAGCTCCGAGCTCGGCAGAATCTGCACCTGGCTCGCCGATAATAAATTATCATTACACCTGGGTAAAACAGAGTCCATTCTCTTCGGTTCGAAACATAATCTCAGCAAATCCGACGACTTCTCAGTTGCAGTGGGCGACATTATTGTCACAAGTAAGAAGGAAATTACATACCTAGGATCTATTCTTGAGGCAAACCTCTCCTGTGACAAAATGGCATCCAATGTAATAAAAAAAGTCAATCAAAGAACTAGAATCCTATACCGGATCTCCTCTCTGGTAAACAAAAACACCCTGAAAACTCTGGCAGGAGCACTCATTCAAGGGTACTATGACTATGCTTGCACGTCATGGTACCATAGCACCTCCAAGGCGATACAAATAAAACTTCAAACATTGCAAAATAAACTGGTCAGACTACTGCTTGACCTTTCATCTAGAACCCACCTCACCTCTGCCCACTTTGACAACCTAGGATGGCTTAGAGTAGACGACAGAGTACAGCTACTTGCAATGGGCCTGGTCTACAAGATCCACTACACCTCTATGGTACCCATGTACATGTCAAAATTATTCCCAAAGGTCAAGGAATACCATGATCATAACACCAGAGGGAGCTCCACAAATCATGTGAAACCCAGATTTGGCACAAAAAAGGGGGAATACACGTTTCGCAATTATGCCACATCAAGGTGGAACGCTCTTCCCACAACCGTAAAGGAAAGTAAAACTATACTTACCTTCAAAACTTCTCTTAAAGAGCACCTTCGGGGGAGAGCATTGCAAAACTGGCCCCGGTAATGGTACAAATCTCAACCTGTCGTTCAATGGACAGCTTCCCCCCCCCCATCTATGTATATACTCGCATTTTAGACTCTGTTACTAACTGTATATCTGTAGACTTGGTATGTCTTAAATGTCCGGTTAGGATGTATTAGAACAAAATCTAAAATGAAAATTGTAAACAAGCAATCTGCATGTAAAAAAACCACCTGTATGTAAATTGTAAATAAGCCATCTGTATGTCAAATATGTCTTAAATGTCTTAAATGACATGATGAATTGGAAATGGTGGACCCTGATGTAAACAAGACGAAAGTCTTTCTCTGGTCTGCATCCCCTTAACAATTGTATGTTTTGAGCTGTACTGTACTGTACCCAATATAGGCAAGGCAGGCAAGGCAAGTTTATTTATATAGCACTTTTCAACACAAGGCAATTCAAAGTGCTTTACAAAAAATGAAAGAGATTAAGAAAATGGCATTAAAAAGAAAAGCTAATAAAATAAACATTAAAAGAAAAAATACATGGATAAAAGTTACAGTGCTGTCAATTAAACATTAAAAGAAAAAAGTACATGGATAAAAGTTACAGTGCAGTCTAAGATATGAATAGTTTAATTAAAAGCAGCGACAAAAAGAAAAGTCTTCAGCCTGGATTTAAAAGTAGTAAGAGTTGCAGCGGACCTGC